AGAGAGAGAGAGAGAGAGAGAGAGAGAGAGAGAGAGAGAGAGAGAAAGAAAGAAAGAAAGTATAATAAAAACAAATTGTATTTGTGGAATACAACAAAATAAAAACAAAAAAAAAAACAAAAGAAAAACAAACCAAAGGAACAGACAAAAAAAAATTTTTGTTTAATTCAACAAAAAATGGCATTAATAAAAGTGTGTGTGTGTGTGTGTAGTGTAAAATAACAAGTGAAATATATATATATATATATATATATATATATATATTTAAAAATTGTGGAAAATAGTAAAAAGAATTTTTTATTTATTTATTTATTAATTTTTTTTTTTGGTTTTTTGTAGACTTTTTGAATAAAACCCGATTTTAAATAACTGAAATATCTGTGCCAATAATAAAACTTTTTTCTTTCGATTTATAACAGTAAATCAAACCTCAAGAATTTACTGGAAGAAGAAAAAGAGTAAGAAAATGAGGAAATTATCTAAGTGTAATGCTTTAGATTATCAATATTAGAGAGAGAGAGAGCGAGAGAGAGAGAGAGGGAGAAAGAGAGAGAAAGAGAGAAAGAGAGAGAGCGAGAGAGAGAGAGAGAGAGAGAGAGAGAGAGAGAGAGAGGAGTTTTTTATATATATATATTTTTTTCTAAATATCTTAAAATAAGTGTGCCTGAAGAAAATTTTTCGGATAATTTACATGCTCTCATTTATTTGAAACGTGCAAATCTTTTCCTCGTCATTGAAATTATTCGTTTTGCATAAATTTTGTCTCTCTATTAAAAAATTAAAAGTTCACTTATCATTTATCATTTACTTTCAAAAATTCGTACGCTGTACGGTGTAAGATCTAAAACTTAAAATACGAGCATGCATCATATCACCATTATTATCATCAATGCATTCTTATTTATGTTAGTTGGAAAAAAAATTTGTTTTTTTTAGTCGAAAATATGTTATGCTAAGAGAGATAGAGAGAGAGAGAGAGAGAGAGAAAGAGAGAGACAGACAGACAGAGAGAGAGAGAGAGAGAGAGAGAGAGAGAGAGAGAGAGAGAGAGAGAGAGAGAGCGAAATAAATTTGTACACATGCTACTTTTTTTTCAAAATTTTTATTGTGTATAGGTTGCTGTCCATGCTATTTTATAACTCACAAAAATGTACTAAAAATTTTGGATATTAAATAATTTGCTGAAAAATTTCGAAACACGCTTGTAAGAACTTTACAACGGCAGTCATAAAAATGTTTAAGAACAGACAACCTTTTTGAAGGGGGCTAAGAAAAACGAACGATCGAACGAACCGACGAATGAACGAACGAACGAACGAAAAAAACGAACGAACGAACGAACGAACGAACGAACGAGCGAACGTAAAAATAGAGTTAATTAAGAATTTTTGCTGTATTCTCACATACAGTATACAATTGACACAGAAAACAAATGAGCGAACGAACGAACGAACGAATTAACGAACGAATTAATTAATAAATGAACAATATATATATATATAGTCAAGGCGTAAACCAAAACAAAGCATCTTTCTTGAGTATGGGATTTTACAAGTAGAGAAAAGGAAAACACACAGCAAGAAACTGAGAAAGAGTTTGTACATTAAAATAGTAGACATTTGCTATCTCTTCTCTTTAGGAGGACACTTCATTAAGCAAAAAGTAATAATAATTGGCACAGATTTAAATACTACATCGTTTACTCTTTTCTTTCTAACACGCAAGTTGTGTTTTTGTATTCGTTCACACACTAATAAAAAAAAAATGCGGCTTTTTTCTCATATTCCTGAATGTCTCTTTCTTTTTTCATTTTGTGTTTTTTTATTTTTTTTTGTTTTTGTTTTTTTTTTTTTTACTTTGGGTTAGCAGAAATTTTGTTTTTTCTTTTTGTTTGTTTTTTTTTTTTTTTGGTTTGGTTTGTTGGTTTTTTTGAGAAGCCTTACCCTCGGTCTAGGAATGGCTTTTAATGGTTTTTTAGAGCCCATCTTTTTCATAGCATTATAGTACTTTTTCTGATCTTCTGTCATGAACATTTCTAATGATCCACCTGCTTTTTTCTTTTGTTCATTAAAATTATCAATGATAACACCAATGAACAGATTCAGTGTGAAAAATGATCCAAATATAATGAAGAATACGAAATATAAATACATGTAGATATTCGTCTCACGTATTGGCTGCTTATCCACCTGTTGATTGTTGTTGATTAGTTGGATTTAAGTTGTATACGATGGAGGTGGTTGGTAGTGAGAGATAAAGTGGTGGTTGGTAATAATGATGGTTGGTGGTAACACGTTGCCCAGGGAAGATGTTAAGGAAGTGTAATATTGTTGTGTATGGTTTTGTGAATTTTTGTATTTTTTGTTATACGTGTAGATTATTAATATTAACATTTTTCGATTTAAGAAAAATTGAGTATTGATTGGGATTCCGGTTCACATACAGAAACACAGTTGATTCATGGAAATTATGTGGAAAAATAAAAAAAGATCATTATTTAGTTTAACTCGTTGCTAAATTAGTAGACGATAATATATATGTAAAAATATATATATTATTGTAGTTTGATTTGATATAAAAAAAAAAATGTATTTATATAATTGCTTCTGTTAGTTTGCACTTACAGGCGTATATAACAAAAAATATTCTTATTACCTCTCTTGAGTCTATGGCATCGTTCATGATTTGTATCCAGCCCTTGAAGGTTGCCACTTGGAATAAGCATAAATACGCATTACCTACATGATCGAAATTCATTGCCGAATTCTCCCACGTTAAATTCTCGCTGTCGCATGCATTTTTATTCGGTATTATCTCGTGACTTAATGTCGTACCATTGTCATCTACGCACTATATGTTTCATTTGTTAATTTTTATATATTTGTGTATACAAAAAAACATATGAAGAAAAAAATACGCAATTATTATTAATCATTATTACAATACAAACAAATATATAAATAGTGTAGGTAATCGACTAACTATCTAAGCTATCTTCTTTTACTTATCACTAAGAGTGTAAGCCGAAGCTAAAAGCAGTTTCATAGGTAATTAGCAAATTTTTCTTTATTTATTATATTGAATATGTGTGTATGTACGTATACACCTATTAGACAGTAATGTTGTACTAACGACAACATTACGATGTGCTCTTTTCAATAGATCTACTCGTTTCCGTTTAAATAAATTGAAATTGGGAGAGAGAGAGAGAGAGAGAGAGAGAGGGAGAGGGAGAGGAAGAGAGAGAGAGAGAGAGAGAGAGAGAGAGAGAGAGAGAGAGAGAGACTAGCTGAGTGATTAACAGCCATTAACAGAGACAGAGACAGATATATATATATATATGTATATATTGAAAAAGGGGGAGAGAAAGTGAGGAAAAGTGAAAGTGAGAGTGCAAAAGTGAGAAAGATAGAGGATGATCGAGAGAGAGAGGGTGGGGGAAGTTGGGAATAGAGTTTTAAAAGTGTAGAATTTTGCAAATTCGACAAATTAAACTCAACTAACGTGAAACGTACATATGCAAAAAAATATATATTTACTTATTAAAGTTAGTTGTTTTCAAGGCCAACATACAGCCTGCTTTCACTTTATTAAGTATTAAGTATATAAGTAAGTGAAAGAGACTGCGTTTTTGAAATTCATTCTTCTCACGCAACTATTTACGAAAAATAAATGCAAAGATACGCTTTTCTTTCTTTTTGTTTTAATTAACTTTTGAAAATGATTTTCTTTAATTTTAATTTCAACTTCAATTTAACTTTAAATTGCTAATAATTGACTGCTATTTATTTATTAGGAGCTTCTAAGTAAGCTTTTTTTTTTTCCTTTTTTCTTTTGCTTCTCGAGTAAAAAACTCGATGATGTATTATTTCAATCATCAAGTTTTTTCCTTTTCCTTTCAAATTTTTGTGTAGTTCCTTTTGTGAATTTTTTTTTCTTATAATTTTTTTGTTTGTTTTTTGTTTTTAACGTACCTTAAAATATTTTCCAGCAAAAAGCTGAACACCCATAATGGCAAAAATAAGCCAAAATATCAGACACACCAATAGCACATTGAAGATGGACGGTATAGCTTGAACCAGCGCATTTACGACGACCTTTTGAGGTATTTTTTTTTTTTTTCGATATTTTTGGTTTTGTTTTTTTAATGTTATTGGTTTTGTACAAGATGTAATCACAGGTTTTATGAGAAAGAAGTTGTTACGAAGAGAGAGAGCGAGAGATTTTTGGAAGAGCGTTTTGATGATTTTTTTATTTATTTTTTTTTTTTTTATTGATTTTGAGAAAAGATGATTGGAGTGATTTGCACATGTTTGAAAGGGGAATAAAAAATTTTTAATAGAAAATTATTTGTCGCAATTGTTATTAATTAAAATTAATTAAAGTTTCTCGAAAAATATTATTAATTTATAATGAATATGTTTAAAGTGATAGTTAGTGGCAAACATAGATTTTTTCTTATTATTTTTTCATATTTTTTTTTTTATTTAGTTATTTTTATTTATTTATTTATTTTTTTTTTTTGTAGAAAGTATGTTTAAGCATTAGGTAAGTAATTACAAGTGTAAATTGATTAAATACAATAAACCGAATAATCGAACACAGAAAAAGGAGTGAAAGAAGAAAGCAAGATTAAGAAGGGGAAAGCGATTGATATGAGGTAACTCGATGCTAAACACTATACCAGCAAATATTTACACCGCAATTTATTTATATTTACACTGAGATCGATTTATTTATACAATAAATGACAACATTTTAAATGATTAACAAGTCATGCATACAAAAACAAAAACAACTATAAATAAATATAATCATAACAACAATAAGAGTAAATAAATAAATAAATACGAAAAAAAAGGATGATAATTTCCATATGTGTGGTAAACAACGCATCCATTTAACTGTAAATAGGATTTCTTAATGCCATGACAGGATGACTGTCGAAATTTTTTACTTTTAAATGAAGAGGAGATAAGTAGTTAAGTACGCGTAGGTGGAAAGAAAGCAAATAAAAATGAAAATCAAAAGGTAAAGATTATTTTTGAAATATATTTAAACTTATAAAAATTATAGCGTGTTAAACTAATAGAATTTTTGTTCATATAAAATAATTGTTAATTCTACTTGAAATGCATTCCGAATATATTATATATGTATTTATTTAAATTAATTAAAAAATAGATACATTCCATAAGAAACGGCTAATATAATCAATATATCATGATCTAATGTTGATAAGCGAGTCGTATGCCTGATTGATTGATTTGCTAAAATTTCTTTATTTTGGACTTTGGAATTAATTTTAATGTACGAGTTGGATGAAAGTTGCACAAATATAAAATGTAGAATTTTTTTTTTTTTTTTGTCTAATTCGGTAAAATGAATTGTTGGAAATTTTCAGTTATGGTTTTTGTTTTTTTCGAATAATAAATAAAAAAATTTGGTTCGTTTGTTTAGTTTAGTTTCAAATTTTCTTTTTTTCTTTTTTTTTGCTTTTAAATGTTTGAAAAAAATAATGTCCGAGTGTAAGTGGTAAACATGTTTGCTTGGTTATTTGGTTAATGGTTAATTTTTTTTTTTTTGCATGTTATGAAAAAGAAGAAATAGCGAAAGAAAGAGAGACAGAGAGAGAGAGAGAGAGAGACAGAGAGAGAGAGAGAGTGGAGGTGGAAGTGGTAGTTGTAGTAGTTGAGTAGAGTACGTACCCTCATGCCCTGCATGCGGGACATGGCACGTAGTGGTCTCAGTGCTCTTAACGTTCGCATAGTCTTGAAGGCTTGAATACCACCAGCTCCAGCAAGTGAAGCAACGAAGTTGATAAGCGATACCTAGTTTATCGAATAAGTGGGCGGAAGTTTTTTCTATTTTAAGTATTTATACAAATTTTTGTTTGTTTTCTGTTACAAGTTATCGGTCCTTTTTTTTTTTAGGTCGGCAAAAAAAATTCGAAATTTAAGTGTAGCAATAAAACAAAGAAGTGAAAAAAAATTTTCAAATGAAATTTATGAAAACTTTAGAGAATATCCTGAAAAATCCTTTCAATACCAAATATTCACTTTAGTTATCTACTCATTATATTCAAGTACCCACCACTCAACGTTGAAGCTACGTTTGTAATAATTAACGGATTGTTGCCCGACGTTTTATACATATATATCCCTGTCAGAGTTTTGAATGGACTTATTCCGTTCGTTCGTCTGTTAGTCGATGCGAATACAAATATTAAACATTATTTATACTCTTTTATGTTATTATTCAAAACTTAGCTCTCGCTTAATAATGTGCTTTTTGTGGTTAAAAAAAAAAAAAACAAAATAAAAAATAGAAAATAGAAAAACAAACGGATAAACAACAAAACTTACAACATACAACTTGCGTACACCGTATAGTGGCTGTAAATGAAAATATAAATTTAAAATTGGTCTGTCCATCCTTGAATATTTAAAAAGAATAGTCCATTTTTTGCCTTTTATTCAGCTGCATGGAAAGTAGGCTGACATTGATCATACGGTTGTCAAGAAAATCTTTTCGAATTTTTCTATGTTTGTAATGCTTTGAGTTGACGAGTATTAAAGACTCGTCCTAAGACGAGCAATATTAGTAGTAGTAATAGTAGTAGTAGTAGTAGCAGTAGCAATTGTAGCAGTGGTAGTAATATTAGTAGTGCTAGTAGTAGTATTGGTAGTAGTGCTAGTAGTAGTATCAGTAATAGTAATAATAGTAGTATAACTTTCTTTCTTGATTTATTTTGCTTAAATAATTATAAAACTATTTGAAAAGTTGTGAAAATTTTCCTAATTAAATTAAATACTTAGCACACATTTACTTAAATTTTAACAGAAAATACACATATCTAGTGACCCTATATATCAAAATACACGTAACGTACACGGAAATCGTGGATATATACTTGATGTTCAAGAACCTATGCATATGAGAGTCTGTCTTACTAAACAAGAAGAATTAATTGATTGTGGATGATTATAGGCTCCACAATAGTCAAAGACTTGAGCAAATGACAATACAATGATGAGAACGAACGCGCTATAAAAAAGCGAAATAAAATAAATTTCAAAATTTTTTCACTATGAATACTGAAGCTCACTACGCAAAACTAGTGACGATTGCTTTTCTTATATTATGTTTACAATTATTTACAAATGATGCAAAGTGATCGTTTTTGATTGTTATTATTATTGTTGTTGTTGTTGTGATTTTGTTAACCTTTGCGATATTATATAAGTCTTTGTCTGTTGTGGAACCTTTTAATTAGCTCAAAGTTATATGCAAAGGGGCTTTAACTACTAGGTTGGCTTGTCTTAATTTTGACAAATTTTTGCTTTAACTTTGCTGCAGGACTCAATGGAGAAGTAGTTGTTACAAACATAAAAATATACACTTTTGTATTTTAAACCGTTTCATTCATTTCGAAAATGACATAACGTAGCCTTTTTAAAGGTTATATAATAAAAAGATTCGCATTTTAAAAACCAGATTTCCCCAAGACCAAGCGATATATGTTCTTTAGACTATATTAATTATCCTTTTTTTTATTTTTTGGGCATTTTATATATATATATATATATATATAGATATATAGATATTTTTGGTGTAAATTTTTAAAAAATTTTTTTTATTCTGGGCGTTTATAAGTAAAACACTGCCACCACTGCGCAGGCATATTTGTTAATTGATTTATTTGGTTTTTGTTTTTTTTTGTTTTTTTTTTTTTTTTCTGAATATATGATTTATAATTGTAAAATTAATTTCTGGAAATATTTTCTTGTTTATTATTGTTGTTGCTGAATAAATTGGAGTTTTTTTTACAGTGGATTTGGTTTTACTTAAAACCTTTTTAATTGTGTGAAAAAAATAAAAAATCTTGAAATTCCAATTAATAGAGTTAAATTGTATTGGACAGTGTGTGCTTGGAACCAAATTAAAGAACTGGAGGAAATAGTCATAACGAGAGTGACAGAGAGAGAGTGAGTGAGTGAGAGAGAGAGAGAGAGAGAGAGAGAGAGAGAGAGAGAGAGAGAGAG